CTCACCTGTTGACATGTAGAAAGGAATTCTATATCTTCCTTCTAATACTCGTAATCTAAGACTTTGTAACGTGCTGCCGTCAAAGGGCAACGAACCAACAACTAATACATACAGTACAACACCTAGACTCTGTAACGAAAAAATAAAATCAAATATCAATAAACCATTTTCTGTGCAAGAACTGACATTATGTGTGAAATTCAATGTAAAAACAGGAGAAACAAAGGTCACAGCATTGTAGTGGTGTTGAACTATTTATTTGGGTATATCCATACTTAATTAAAACACACTATTTTAGCTGGAATTAATCTTCGCTGAAAATATTTTTCAAGTGTTTTTTATAAGTATAAGTTTTATGAGTATAAGTTGAATGTAAAATATAGGAAAAAAGGTATATTTACTGTATTTTATTTTCACTGATTCATTCCTCGAATAAAAATAAAAGTATTTTACAGTGTACACATTTGATGATGGTCAATTTTAATGAAGGAGAAATATCGTTTGAACTTTTACATTGAACTATGAAAAATAGAAATTCGTGTTAGAAATCGTTCAAACCACATTATTCACGCATCATTAAGATCTCTCATCGAGTGAAAAATCTCCTATTGTGTTATGTGATATCAACAGAGGGTTTCTGGTACACTGAAATATAATAATTTGAACTGGAATAAATTTTTGCTGAAATAAAGATAAATTTCAAGTGAATATACAGTAGCGTGAATTTCATATGCTATGTCTATGCATGTTTTGTTTTTCATAATAAATTCCACAGTCATAGAAATTTAAGGACATTTGTAGACAATAGTTTGAATTTCCCTGGGTGGTATATGCCACTGAAGAAGGTACGGAATTAAGGTAAAGTTTATTAATGCACTTTTTGCTTTGTGTAGAATATGCAGTTAGGCAACTACTGCCAATTTCAGTTTTGTAATGTACGACTATATATGTAGGCATCTACCTTATGCTTGAAAGTTTACAAATGTTCATGAAGCAAGATGAAATAAAATTTAAAACATCTTGGTATCTACAGACACATTGTAAGATGTATCCATATTTGATCTATAAAGAACTCACATCTTGGGTGTACTTATATTGAATTTTTTGTTTTGCATTTGACCCATTACTATTAGAATATTTTTTCCGAGAATTTAAAGAGGTAAATGATTCGGACAACAGCAAAATGTCAAAGAGACATCGTTTTTACATGGTTTCAATCCTAATGGATCCATAATAAATCACTTTTTTCTGCTTTAATCTAGAACAAAAAACAACCAATCCACCATTCTCTCAAAAGCTGTATTCTGCGTTCAGTCTGTATTTGAATGTTTGATTTTTCTTTACATGGCATGAACTACGTCACCAGCATTGGACACAGAAGAGCTTTAGTGTATGACAAACATGAATCCCATTATTCATTGCACATGTTCGCAAAGCACAAAAGTTTTCCATTGTTATTGTCTCTCTTTCAAATTATTGTTACAAGTAGAAACAAGCTGCTTGACGATTGATAAAGCTTTACTGTACAGTAAATGATGAAAACATTCACTAAAATTAGAAAAGTAAACTTATTGTCAAGAATGAACAAAATTGTTCGAGGCTCACCCAAGGTGTCTACATATAAAATATGAAGGCAATTGGGATAGACATTTTAAAGCAGAAGTCGAAAATAGCTGTAATTTTTTACCAAAAATATTCATCAAAATTACTGTTTTTAAAATATCTATACAAAATGAACCAATCTGAGGGAGATCCACCAAAGATACATCAAATATCAAAGCAGACATGCAGTTTTCAAGAAAAACTTGAAAATGACAAGTGAAGAGCTATAGTGTATGACAAACATAAATCGAATTACTGATTGCACATGTTCACACAGCAAAAAATGTTTTCCATTGTAATTTCATTGTCTATGTTGTCATTCTTTTAAATTATTGGTATAAGTAGAAACAAGCTTCTTGTCGGCTGATAAAGCTAGTTACAGTTAGACAATTACAAAAAATTGTTTGGAGCACCACAGAGGGCGCAACTCACGCACCTTGTCAGGCTAATATACTGCGAGAGCATATAATTGGGTGAATAGACCTTTTCCATTCACTGCGAGATCCTGAGTTATGTGTGAAATTGTGAAATTGAACGTAAAAACAAGACAAGCAAAGGTCATAGTGTCATAGTGGCAACAAACATTATGTGGGATTTGACAAATGAAATTTGAAAGTATTTTGGAGGATATGCTTAGTAATATGTGCTGTACACATTTGAAGATGTCAATTTTGATGAAGTTAAGGGGTATTCAAAGCAATACCCACATGTTAAAGATCAGTCTTTTGATGTGAGCTACGAAATAAAGAAATTCAAGTTCAAAATCAAATCATTGGATTTTTTTTGGCAGACATTCTGCGTGCGTATTTCACTCAACTCGCGAGATCTCCCAGTTGAGTGGCAAATGACCTATTATGAGAATATACCAGCCTGTACAGTGTTACCCTGCATGTCACCCTGTGTTATTCTTACCCATATATCTGCTTTTGGGCCATTGTATTCTTTTCCTTCAAATAATTCGGGTGCGGCATATGGCGGACTACCACACCACGTCCTCATTGGCTGACCTGGTGTAAATTTATTACTAAAACCAAAATCTTGAAGAAAAAATAGAAAGCATTAGATACTTGAATGTTATTGACACTATTCTAAAATTTCCCTGTAGAGGGCGCACTCACATTGTGTATTTGTAGCCTATTGCCCTGGCCAGATTTTTACTAAGACATTAACAATAGGACAGTGATATGTAAAACGTTTTCTATCTAGCTATCATTAGAGCCACCAGCTGCAGCATTACCTTACAACAGTATAATTGTTACTTTGCAGAACACAGTTTTCACCCATCTACGTCATAGTTCCTATGCCACAAACGTAGTTTGTCACTAGAGGTATCATTTATATCAGGAACGACTTACTGTGATCCAAATCTTAACACTGATAGTAATCTTATAGCACGTCATTAGACAACAACAATATGGAAGATATCTCAAGAGTGACTCGTAGTATCAGATTTAATAAACAAGTGCAGTCATTTTCATTTGTTCCAATCCTTTTGCAAATACGTGTGAAGTTAGTTTTATCGTGAAAGACTGTTTTAGAATAGTTGATCCAATCTATACAAATGCCAAGATCTGTTTTCATGAGTACGATTCAGCCTATCATAGTGTCCTTTCACCTGATAGGTTAGGCCATTAACCAATCAGAATACTGTAGAGTTTTACCAACTACTGAATTGAAAATCCCATAAAGGACAATCAATTTTACTATATTCAGAGTTCATGTTCATTTCAATGTAGGATTTTTTTAAAGCGGCAATCAACACTTATTGGACAAGTTTTAAAAGTTACTGTGAAATACTTTATTTACGCTTGGAATTAATTTTCGCTATTTTCGCTGAAAGAATGATTCAGTGAAAATAAAATCCAGTGAATATACCGTTTTTCCTATATTTTACATTCAACTCATCAGAAATCAGTGACAATAAATTCCATACAAAACACCCAACAAGTATTTTCAGCCAAAATTAATTCCAGCTAAAATAAAGTATTTTACAGTAATTACTAGTAATTAAACATGGTAACAATTTTATGGGATACTGTATTTTTTATTCAATACTCATCCGTAATTTTGATATTTAAACAGACTTAGAGAGTTCATTTAGATATTTCAAGAAAACAGGAAAGTCACTCACAAGCAATTTAGGTATTTTAAAGAAACACAGGGTGTTTACTTACCTGCAATTTTAATATTTAAATTAGCGTCTAAAAGTAAGTTCTCGGCCTTAAGATCTCTGTGTACTATGAAACGACGATGACAGTAATGAACCGCTGCAACTATTTGACGAAATTTTTTACGAGCTTCTTTCTCTGTCATTTTTCCATGTGACACTAAATGATCTAAAAACAAAAAAACAGAAATTATTGAAAGTTTATAAATAATTATAATAATAACATTCAGCTTGAAGTGACTAAATCTGTTGTGTTTCTCAACATTCCCCTTTCGTTGATTTTTGTGACATTATCTCAAAATTTGTTTCTGGTCAAATTTTCAAGAATGAAGATTTTTTTCTTCTTTTTCCTTGCTAATTTGACGAATCACACCGTGCAGTGGGGCAAAATAAATAAAAAAAAAAAAAGATCGGCCTGCATTTATTTTGGTGGTAAGCATGCTTACCAGATTGGCTGGTTCCCGCCTCAAGTGTCATGGCGTACTAAGCCACAAGAGGCCGGTAACTAGTAACGGTTCTGGCATTCTGATTGGTACATCACTTTTTCGTTGCTTGTTCCATTTCCCTTAGTTACCTGACGTCAGCGCTTACGCTCATGGCCGTTCAGGGGTTTCCTTTTGCTTTCGAAAGTTGGGCGAATAAAAATAATTGTTTCTTTTGTTATAAATTTGCACAGAACATATCAAATCTGTAAATCTAAGCAGGCAGTATGTATGAGCATGGCTTTATTGTAGCATTACAGACACGTTTACGCAAAACGGAACTTGGAATGTTTTCAAATTACGTCACCCAGTCGCGTTCCTTCCGGCCGGAAAACCGGCCCAAATGGAACAATATGGCAATTACTAGTTACTTGCGTCCTACCTGCCATTCGCAAAGGACGCTGGGAACCAGCGAAGCTTACCAAAAACATAACTTTTTTTTTTGTTAACATAAAAAAGGAAATTTATCAATTTTTGTCTTGGAAATGGGTGTTCAATCAAGTTTAAAGTTCAGTCTCGGCATTCCTGCTAATTCAATAACTTCAAAGTTTGTTTCCAAGTTTATTTTATGATAGTTGGACAGCATACTGCAAATGTCTTGAACTTTATACAGACAAACATTTCCACATAAAGACACTAGAGGGCAGTATATCAAGATAAAGCCCTGCAGACTGAAAAATATAAACAAGTCTTACCAAATATTTCTCCCCCACTGGCATACTCTGTAACTAAGTAAATCATGCGATCCGTTTCCATCACTTGGTAGAGTCGGATAATATGAGGATGCCTTAGTAACTTCATTATCTGTATTTCTCTAAAAATCTTTTTTAAATTGTCTTCATCTAATTGTGTTTTGTCTATAATTTTAATTGCAACCTAAGCAAAAGAATACAAGAGAAATCAGATTAATACAGTGCAGGTAAAAATATTCATTGGATTAATAGAGTACAGGTAAAAATAGTCATTGGACAAAATTTGCCTAACCTTAAAGTGAGAGAGCCGTAACCTGCGAACACTCAAGAATTGAGCCCCAAGCGACGATAACAACACACGCTAAAAATGCAAAGGCTCATGGGGAGACGCTTGTTTGTAAACAATGAAACGCTATGGCTATCTGACGCATACGCAGGTGTGATGATGACTCCCTCGCTTTAAAAAACATAAATTTATAAGAACTGGTACGCATGGGTGGAATATGCAATGAAGATCACACACAAATTGAAGAAGATATGCAAATTGAAGAAGATATGCAAATTGAAGAAGATATGCAAATTGAAGAAGATATGCAAATTACTAAGTTTGTGGAAGACCTGGTTCATGTTCATCTCAGACCATTGTTACCTTGTGATATTAGTAGCAGATATGCTTATGTACAAGTACGCAGGTACAAGTCTCAAAATTTGTAATACTTGGCTGTACAGTACAGTTTGTATATTGTGTTGCACAAAACCTGAAACCTGATATTGTTTTTCAAACAACAAATGATTTTTGGAAACAAAACAGGGCTGTGTATTCAGTAGATGAGGACATAGTGGGAATATTGCAAAATGCTTTTTTTTGCAAATCAGTGAAAATGATAACATTTTGCTGCAGGACAAATTTTGTCTGGTGTCCAATGACACAAGTGTCAGTGACTTTCACAAAATTTAACAAATGTGATAAAATCATGAAAAATCCAAGCAGACAGTTTACGGAATATGGTGGGAAAGACACAGGTGTATTCAGGTGTTAAGAAAACACTCCACTTGAAGTCGTATTATGGATAACTTAAGAATTTTGGTTCAATACATGTACAGTGCGGTAACTGTTTTATGTCGGTTTTAAAATGTCTGTTCAACTTATTGACTGCTACACAGTACTAAACTTTTATGTAATAGGTTTCACAAAATAAAACAGCATTATTTTTCCAATATTTTAACAAATTTGATCAGATCTCATAGTCTATTGCAATATAACAAGTACGATTTCTGATAGGCAATGGAAAAATAAATCCAAAATTAACAAAGAAATTACATGAATAGTATTATATATTATTATACTATACATCTGTCACCATAGCGCCATAAGTTACAACGTGCCGTAATTTTGCGGTATTGCGCTGAGTATTTTCATCCTAAAATATTAGGAAATGTGAATTCCAAATATGGAGCGATTACACACGTTAGCGTCCTCTAATAATAAAAACAAACATGGCTGCCACAATGGTTTGACCAGATTCCACACAAAGAAGTTCGCTGATTCTGTTAATTCTAAATTTTTTGGATTTCGGTATTCCCATGATGTATCCTTGGGTGGGAAAGATGTATAATAAGGTTATTATGAGGATACTGCAAGGTATGCATTTAGACAGTACATTGTTGCATACTCCCACTGTACTGTCTTCATGCACACTTTTTGGTATCCTCGTAATACCCTCATAATCTGTGCAAAAATTTTGCATAAAAACTTTAGCAAGAACAATTATTTCATTCAAATGTGTTGAAATGGTTTGTAAACTAGATAGCTATAATGATTGAAAAGTTTAAAAATTTTCAAAAAAGTATTACTGGCTACTAAAATTTGAATATCAGGATACAAGATAATAAACCATGCCTAGGTTGACAGTTTTTAAAAAGATGTTCAAAAAAATATATTTTGAGAACAAACCAACCAGGTACTGAATAAGTTAAAATTTGTAAAAGTTGACAGATGACAAAAAATCAATATGGAATGATTCACCTGATGGGCTTTGTTGATAGTGCAGATAATCAAAAACATGTTATGACAGACAAAACAACACACGACCTCAATCTTACGATCTTTAAAAATTCACTTTCAACTGAACCCATGTAGACTTGTTTACTTCAGAAAAAGGGCACCCTTACACATACATATGCAAATTACTCTCCTCAGTAAGATTCTTGGAATCGAAGGAGCTTAGTTTTTCACAGCTATACAATGAGACAAAAGATGACCTTGTACTTTACAAAGTAGGCCACTGGTAAACAACCCTGAACTGACCTATATACATATACCAATCGTCCAGCGATGTTAAAAACATATCCCTCATGATGTGAGGATATTTAGGTTGTTTGACAAAAATAAAATTGGCAATGAGGACCATTACATAACGAATTGCTCAAGTGCAAAGATTTCAGATTTCCCTTTCCTTAACTTAAAAGGCATCAGTGCGACATTTGTGTTGATAAACATTGATTTTCCCACAATCCAATGCACTCTTCTAATGGAAATCACAAGTATGAGGTTTGACCTGGGTGCGACTTGCACTATTTACCGCCGAAGAATCCTTCGATATCTTCTAATCACCTAAAGATACCTATTTAAAGCTTGGCAACGTCTTAGTTTGTACTCGTTGATCTGCGCCGCAACAGTCAAAGTCGCCATTTTTGTTTGTACGAGACCCATATATCACACGCATGCATGGCGCGACGACTATCACCCTTTATATACTTATTAAATGTTTCAGATATAAACCTTATAATAGATTTTGGAAACTATTTATATTCCATTTTTAGTATGAATTTTTTTTTATTCCATGATAGTTGTATTTAGTAATCATACTGATGTATAATTTGATATGGTGTTGTCTCAATAAATTATTATTATTATATTGCACATTTCGATAATCCTCTCAAACGTTTCTAGATTTGCATCTGAAGCAATGTTATATGTGGGGGGAGGGAGGTGTCAATAAGGAAAAATATGTGAGAACTATTACATCAACTGTATTTACATGTTCTCAACAAGCAGTCTCTTAGCTGTTACACATATACAACGTAGTTTCACTGTTTCTGATGTGTATTGAGAAAAGAATATCAATTCAATCAGTCGAGCCATTTTCAAGGAAACAAGTAAGAATATTCATCAAAATGAGAAAATTAAAATTATTAAAACTAAATAAATTAATCTGATAGGGAAATGAATCAAATTAATCTGAGAACTTGGTTAATCCAACATATAAAATATCAAAACAATCTTGTGATCTTCAAAAAGACATTAGAATTAGTCTTTTTTACTAAAAATATTCACTAAAATAAGAGAACTAAAGTTATTGAAGTGAAATCAACAAATGAAAGAGATCCAGGCAAAGTGCCTAGATATAAAATATTATTGGGCAACCCATTTTCAAGAACAAAAATATATACTAAAATTTTAGAATTGAAGGTATTATCACAAAATAAACAAATCTGAGAGAACCCCCCCAACCCCCACCCAAATACATTTGAAGAGAGTTTGAAACTCATATAGCTGTTTTTAGGAAGAAGTAGAAAAAGTAAAGTTAATGTTGGATGCAAATATATGCCTGGATCATATTCAATAACACATGTAATTTGTTTCATTTGTTGACATAAGCAAATTGCACAAGGACTTTGAGGTTAACACAATTTTTAATTGGCTGCTGTCTTCAAATAGTCAGTCAGAATAACAGGCAAAATAATGTTATCCATATTTCTCAATTCTGCACAAAGGTCAATGACATCTATGGCTGCTGCAGCTGTTATAGAATACTCTTATTTTCACTGCTTTTATTTTCCATGAAAAGTTAGGGTGATTTTCGAGAAATTTATTCACCGTTAATGTAACCAAGTCGTAACAAATCACAACGTTATAACAATTTCTTGTAGTGAAAATAGATATTAGTTTCACTGGTTGCAAAGCTCAGATACAGTTGTTCAGAAATCATTCAGAAATCAATGTTTTCATCGATATTACCCAGTAATTGAATCAATCAGTTAGGCTCTCCCAAGCTCCTAGTGAAACAAGACAGTCAGCCCAAATGTATGCTTGTCACTCAAATACTGCATACTCGTGATAGCCAGAATGTGTTTCTGTATCAATCTAACCTTTGTCACCATATGCATGTACATGTACCAAATAAAATGTAACATTTTTTTTTTTTCAAAAATGTTGACGCAGCTGACGGAAAATAATGTCCATTCCGTACAAAATAAAAAAAATTATAAGAAATTACTTAACCTTTATATGCTCAAATTTGGAAGCCAACAGACAAAATTTGAGTCAGTTTTTACTCAAAAGATTTTGCTAATTTTGTTCTAATATTTTGTGAATTTGTGATGAAAAGAGGACTGGTGGTGAAAAGGTTAAAAACAAAAAATTGGCAGAAAAAGTTATATAGATCAAATGTGACATGTATATTCACTTTCATTTTCGTTCATAATTTTTTTTTATTTGCAGAGCATTGATACCATTAAATTATTACATTTATCCAGGTAAGCTCTGAGTAACAAAGAAGCCATTTAAAAACACAGCTATAATGTACGTCAGTCACCTATTATGGTTGCTAGGCAACAGTATCCAGGGACAAAAACTAGATCGAAGGTGAGCATTCTTCACCTTTCAAAAACAAATAAATGTTACATGGTCTGTTCAGTTCTTGTATGTACAAAGTAGACTGCATCAGCTTTGTTAAAGAGTTTTATATTGAATAGGAATAAAATTATTTTTCTGTTTTTCTAATTTATATAATATTGTATCAATTGTGGTGCTAAATAAGAAAAACCATGGGTATACAGATAAAATAACCAAATTGAGGGTTACATTTAGTTTATGCTTACTCAGTCATATGTAAATGCAGTGAACTGAGATTTCTTTCTAAAATTACTAAAAATCTTGAGAATAGTAACAAATCCATTATAATGTATATGGGGAATATTTTCCATTTCTTGATTTCTGTTCTCAATTACTGAATTTACTAACATTCAAACAAAAATTCAAAAGAGTAGCTAAGACAATAATTTAATTTTTAAGTATCAGCACCAAGGGGTTTCCTTAGAAGCCAGCAGTAGCCGACTAATTAGTCTTTCAATGTAATGATTAGCTGACTACTTTTATGAATGGTGTGTGCAGGAATAAAA